ATATATTATACAATTTATACTATGACCAAAACACTAATATAGTTATCCTGTTAAATTTTTTTTTAAAAAATTATGGTCATTCTTGCTAATTTCTCTTAATTTAATAAAGAGGAATAGCCGAAAAGACTAGATAAAAGATTTCAACAAATCATTTTTTTCAATGTATCTACTCATTTTACTTAAACTGTTCTATATTTTTAAAGAGGTCTCTTAAACCAAAAGCGAAATAAATCAAAGAAACTAGTTGTAGTTGTCACTATGGATTTGTAGTCGGGTACACACAATTACAATTTGTGGATCCTATAACTGAAGGGTAATTACTAATTACACTAGTCAGAAAAAGGACAGGCCCCTACCACAGTAGTGAGTACTACCAACGTTAAATAAACGTCACATTTCAATTCACCATAATGACAACTTCCGCTCCTTTAGCTACTTATGTTTCCTCTTTCTTTTTTTTTTGAAACTTTGTTTCCTCTTTCTGGCTTCTTTGCTCTTCGATCTCTACTAATTACTTTACACGTGTTTTGTTTTGTTTTGTTTTTAGTTCTGTCGTGTTTTTCTTTTGTTTCATCACGTGCTATCGGCTAATGCTATGATAAATGTCTAAGGGGTTGATTGGTTCACCCGCTACCACCCGCAAATACTGCGTTTGCGGGCGATAGCGGTTGTTAGTGTTTGACAACAATCATGGGAAACGTCTTATACCGCTCTGTATCATTCCAAACCTCTCAAATATAAAAGCTGCTTCCCTCGAGCGTTTGTGATTGCAGGCGGTTACGGTTATATAATTACAAAAATAAAAATTAATTTTTTTTATCAAGAATGAAAAAATTTACTTAAAAATCAAAATAAATATAATAAATAAAAATTGATATTTTAGTAACTGTAATTATGAAATATATCAACAATTTGAAACTTTCTAACTAAAACTTAATAACCTATCATAATTTTATATTTATAAAATCTTCAAATCGTAATTTTTTCGATAAATTGTTCTTGATCACTGATTAATAAATCTAACAAGCTAAAATATTCAAAATCACATTAACCTCTTTAAAATAAAAAAAATTCTCCACTAAAATCACAATTTTCATTTTTTTGTCACAATCATAACTTTTGTCTAAACTAAAATTTTAAAAAGGAACATAAGAAATATATTCATAG